GGGGGGGGGGGGCTGTAGCCCACTAGGCAACTCTCACTCTATATACGCTACTGATAAGAGTAACCCCCACTCAGTAAGGGCAAAAAATTATTATGATGGTCCGTGAAAAACAAATGATATATTATTTTAAAATAATTATTTTACCTAGTATCTACCTAAGTAACTAAGTACCTTACCTAACCTACCTAATACTCAGCAACTATTAATGTTATATTGGTATAATAATTCATATTTTATATTTTTACGTTTAAATTAGTGAATAAAATTGCATGTACAAAAATACTGTAAACTAAATTTTCGTAAGTTTGACACTATGCATATCTGTTATAAAAAGTATAAAATATTGAGGTTATTGAATATTTTAATATTTATTTTAGATATCCTTTAAATAATCATGCAATATTAAAACAATGACCGAAATAAGTATGCAGAAAAAAATTTGTTTAAATAAAAATTAGTTTTTTTAGTTGCATAAAAGCTAGAAATGGTTCAAAAAATAACCCTAATTCAGTACAATTAATAAAAAAATAAAAAAGGCTGTTATTATTTACTAAAAACTATTGTTAAAATTTGAAATTATTCCTAGATTCACCGGAAGGTGATATAGATTTCCGATCAGAAAATGTAATTTTAGGAATACAAGAGAAATTCCTGAAAATAATGGATTTGAGCAATTTCCATTTTGATAATAATGATTTAAGTTATTATGTTAAAGAAATTTTATATTATATAGATGGTAATATTGTTAGAAGTATAATAAAAGTAATCGTATGTCAAAATTGTACTAATATTCTTATAGAAAATCGGTTAGACAACGAATATAGCAAAAATGTACATCTTCTGTTAGTCGAGGTTTATTAATAATTACTACTGAATCTGTTTCGTTAATAAGGCAACAACATAAAAAATTATTACAACTAATAATTTTCGAAGAAAAAAATAATCACAAAATTATAAAATTTTTAATTATTGGAAATATTACTAGGAAAAGTATTGTAAAAAAAGCACTACATGTTTTTTTTTTGCAAACAATCATTTACTAACTGATGTAGATTTTGGTGCTCCTAGTCATGAGTATTTATTGTTCACTTTAATTTGTCTAAAATGTATTAATATTAAATTAAGACATTTTGAAAAACGATTTAATGTTCAGGAAGTTTTTAAAACCATTAAATAACTTACAAAATTCATTTTTATTATAAATAACTGTTAATAATTATCATATTATTTTAAAAATTAAGTTTTATTTTTAGTTTTTTAAATTTTATTAGTTGGTATTTATTCAATTATTTGATCATTATTATTATGTATATTGCTTATAATTTTTTTTTTAAAAGACATTTTATATTATTAAAATTCATTTGTATTTAGTTTTAATGATAATAATTAAAACATATTAAAGCTTAAAACAACGAAATTTTATGTAGATTTCAATGGCTGTAATAAATTTCTTGCCCTTACGGAGTGGGGATAGTGGACTATAGAGACAATTCGTTTTTTCTGTGTGGCTATGATAGGAAGTAATCACTCTAGATTTTTTATTATCTCGATGCTGTATAATAATTATATGTTGCCTACTAACTTGGCTAGGGGAAAAAGCTTCGCAAAAAAAATGATCCTAGCATAACGGAAAACTGTTTTTCAGCGAAAAACACTCCTACTTGGGTGTAGAATAATTAGATAAATAATTTCCACCGTTTAAAACCTGATTGGTATTGCCAGTAAGTTTAGTATTGCCAATATTTGCATGGTCTGTTTGTCATGGATATTTCTGAACAAATATGTAAAAAAAAAAGATTTAAAATATTAGCGCATTGCACCTGAGCGTTTCTATTTTTCTAAAGTTTTCCCGACAGTCTCCATAATACGATATTAAACAGCTACTATCCACCGAATCAACTGCACACTTGACGTGTACAATGTCTCATCTGACCTTGCTCCGAGGCGAGTCCAATTTCAAATGCCCGTCCGAGTAGTGAAGTCTGCTCTGCCTGTGCGCGCGAGTAGCAGAAGTTAACAGTAATCCGCGAATAAAGCTATTTGATTGGCCGTCGGCCCGACTCCGACGACTGCGTGTTCCGAAGATGAAACGATGATGATTGGGGGTGGGGGGTTGGATGGCGGAGGGTAGTGAGTGTATCGGGTGTGCTGGAAGATCAGTGGGGCGCGTTGGAATCCGGGCGGGGGTTTGCGGAGGACGAGGGTTGGTTTTAAAATCAACACGTTGGCGGCGGTGTCACGGCGGGCCGCCGTTGCCGTTACCGTCGCCCGCGCACACGACGACGGTGGTGGCGGCGACGGCGGCAGCGAAGTCGACGACGGCGTTGACGACGACGACGGCCGTTAGTAAACTTTTGTCCGCGGTCCGATCGACACGCTTGTTGCCAACGTATTGTCGTCGCCGCTGCCGTTGCCGCTACCGCCGTCGCGCCCGTCCACCACGCGGATTGATACGGTCGAATTAAAAAAAATAAAAAAAAAAAAACGCGAAAGTGGAGAGTTAGACGAGTAAGAGAGAAAGAGAGGAAATTGTATAAAAAAAAAAAAAAAAAAATAGAAAAAATATTATATAGTAACATTTTACCCGCACGCTGATCGCCATGCAATCCGTCCGACGGTTGTTGGCGTGCACGTTAGTCGTGATCGCCGTATGCCGGTGCATCGGCGGCGCCCCGTCGTGTTCACCGGATAAGTTGGCCCGGTACCGGGTGGCCGTGCGCACGTTCTGGACCCGCGACCGGTTTCCCAAACACTTTCCCGAATGGAGGCCGCAAGCGCAGTGGAGCAAAGTAGTCGGTGAGTCTGTCGAGTCGTCGAATCGTACGACGGTTTATATTATCATTATCATCTGTACACCTATTGCGTGTACGTGACGCGAAACCAAGCGGGTTCAGTGCAAAGAAGGGAGGGGGTTGTTGAAAAGTAAAAATCCGCGACAGTATATCTGAAACGGAAATGTAAATTTTTTTTTTTTTATAAAACGTTCATAGTTCAAAAGTATAGCCTTTAATCGGGGTCTGTAATCGTGATGAAAAATTGTTGAGCTATTCTGTAATGTGACGTAATAATAGTGCATGGTAAGATGGGTGAATTACTCCATTTTCAATACGACTGTTTCAGTTACGAAGCTATAGAGAGCATTAATTTGTTTAAATGCTAAGCTGAGCCGAAAACTTATTTTGTTGTAACCCAGGTTATAAATCTTTTACCTTTGTTGCTTTATTGAATAATCAAATAATTTTACTAGTTTAAGGATAATCTTTATTTATCATTTTTATTTTTATTTATTTTTTGTTAACGCGGTTAATTTCGAAATATTATCAGTTACGATAAAAAATGTACTGGATATTTTTTATAGAATCATGTTGAAAAGATAGAACATGTAATAGAAGAAAATAAATAAATATGCTGGTGAAAATGTTCAAACTGTGCTCATTATAATGAATGTATAATAAAATAGTTCAATTTATTGTTTGATCAATTAAAAAACCTGGCACAATTTTTTTTTTAGGTGTTGATTAAAAAATAGGTACAACAAATTGCATTCTATTATTGATTGCTATAGTTTACATTCTTCTATATTTGAAATAATAATATATGATACAACAGTCGTTAGTTAATTCAAAAAATTATTATATTTTCTTTAAATTAATTTTAAAGTTAAAGTATTACATTTATTAAATGATTACAATTAGTTTATATATATTGAGGTTTTTTATCAACTCAGATTCAGTTTTAATTTATTTTCCCACTCGATCATAATTTAGATCATCTCGTTTATAGCATGGCATTATTGTGGTCGGAATTTTTTGAGGTGGCCCTAGGTTTTTTTAGATTAATGGTGTTTGTGATGGATTCAACATATTTTTACGTTGGAATAAAATTTAGTATATTTGTGAATGAAATTAATAAAATATTTTTCCATCGTGATGTCTACTTGAATAATAAGATAATATAGTTTTGGATTTTTTCTCATAGTATTCAAATCATTATATATATTACATGTTACTCATAGCATTATAATAATATTACTGTGTCATATTATAAATATATAGTTTCTTTTCTACAGCATTGTTATTAAATAAGGTATTAAACATAAAATATAAACTTTGAGTAGTTTAAATATATCATTTATATTATTACTACAACCCAAATATCCACAAGTCAATAATAGGAGTTTGGATATTCATGATTTAATATTATAAGTTCATGGGTAGGCAGAAAAATATGTATTTTGTCGAGTACACTACAATACTATAATAGAAACGAGATGAAGAACTCATAAAAAATATATGTGCGGTAAAAAATAAAAAAATAATTAGGCATTTTAATATCTATTTGAAAAAAGTACGTTTATGAAATAAAATATTAAATTAGCTGAGCCGGTCAAAACATGTACACCACCCGGAAACATTATTTTTTTGTTCCTGCTCTATACCGATAACAATGTCTGTATACTTGTGATACTTTATAATCATAAGCTATAACGTATATCTATCATGTATAATATATATAATATTGCGTATTTGCATCTATGTATAATTATTTTACCATCAATGTTAAAGTACAAATACAGGTCTTTTTTATTATGCATTTTATAAATATCATTACATATCATTTTTATACATGGATATTTTGTGGAAATATTATTTGACTAATATCAAATTTTAGTATTTTATTATTATGTGATATTATACCTAGATATTCATTTTTTGAAATATATATCAAGTCAAAGTTTGTAATTATACTTATTATATTTAAACAACACTATCCACGTAAATACAATATCATGAAATGGTAATAAAAAGAAACAACTTATTTTTCATGAAAGAATAAATTATAATATATACCTATTGATTTTTGTTTATGAATTTAACACATTTTAAATTCTGAGTGAATAGTTAATTATTGAATCCAAATTTAGCATAATATACTAAAATAAATAAATAAAAATGTATTATATTTGTGACATTTTTATGAAAATTAGTAAAATATTATTATATTTATTTTGTGCATACAAAAATAATATGAGTTTTAAGACGAAAAACAATATACCAACCAATCGATAAATAATTATTTGTAATATTAAAAATAATGATTGTATTTCATATACTTTTATTTAAATAGTTTAATTTATTTAGTTAATTTATTTATCTACGGGTATAATGTTCATCGTTAGTGATGATATTTTGAGTATCACAAATATATAAATAATATTTTATTTTGGTATTTTCTTTGATGGCCCTGCAAGAGTAGTAAACATAATAATAATTAAACTTGTAATAACGTTTGAAATTATTGCCTATTGTGAAAATATAAATTATAACAAAACCATATCTGTATAATTTTTCACAAAACCTTGAGATGAGCCATTTAATGAAAACTACCTTATACGGTACAAGGTGGTAACCAAATTTGAAAATAGTAATCGTACGATAAATAAAGTTTAATATAATGCGATTTTTAATATTAGATTATTGTATAGCTTCTTCGAAAAAAACTATGAGATATCTAAGAATTGTTATAGCAACATAGATCGAAAGTTTAACAATACAATGAAACTTCATAGTTTTTAATACTAAAAAAGGGCATAACTCTTGGGTTGGGTAAGATATAGGGATGGATGAACGATACTGCTGTATAAGTCTTAAAATTTTCTTTAAAATTGAAACCAATTTACTATTTTTTTTCAAAAAAACTATTCTAAACGATAGAGACCCGGTGTATCAGTTTATATTTCTAAAAATGGTTGGTATAGTAGTGTAACCAAGTGTCTTACATAATAAAGTAACTTGAATTTTTATTGTTTTAAATTTCATAAAAAAGAATTTTTAAGAAGTTCAAACATTTTAAGCCAGTATAAATTTCAATAAAATATTTCGGAACAATGACATGTCTTTAAAATGCTAATGTAAAGACTTAGTAAATGTTTCAAGTTGATACGATTAATATTCATAGAATAACAACTAAATAACAAATGTCGTTTCGTTAAATTATCCTTTATGTTAAAATTCAATTTTATTATGTTTATACATACATCTTTTTTTTGCGATTTCTCAGTAAATAAAAGCATGACAACATTTAACACACGGTTTGAATCTCAGTCTCAGTTGAAGTGGAGAGAAATTTAGTGATTATTGGTTTCACCATCATGTAGATTTTTTGTTGTTGCCTGTGAACACGTTTTGACCAGAATAATTACTCTGACCATATCAATTATATAATATATTAAACCAAATAAAAAGTAAGAGATAGGATAGTTCTAGTTGGTATTTTGAGGGGTCTTTTTTTTAATTTTTCATCAGTTTTCTTAATAATTGAGATAAATGGATAAAAAACATCAACTGGGGTTGAAATTCGAACCCTTATCACTAATAATCGTTAATTATTTTGTCTATTTTGTTGTACTATTTTTTTATGTGTCTGTGCACATAAATTCTCAAAATTGCTCTGATCATCACAATCATAGAATATTTTCGGTAGGAATTATTGTCCAATTAATTATCTAAAGGCGGTAATTTCCCAACGATTTTCTTAATAATTGTGAAAAAACCAATGAAAAATTATAAAAAGTAAAATTTATAGCGTTTAGTTTTAAAAAAAAATCGAATTTTCATTTTCATTGAAACTAAAAAAAAAATATTTATAATGATTTGAAATATTTACTAAATACTTATATCACTGTTTGCTATAGATAAGAGTTTCCTAAACTGTGAGGCGTGCCTCCTTTGGGAGGCGAAATGCAAACATTTATATTGTATATTGCATTACCATATATTTATTATTCGATTGATAATAATTTACTTATATTAGGATAATCAGAAATGTTTTATTGGGAAGCGCAATTTTTTTTGTTTTAGGGACGCGTGATCCAAAAAAATTTGGGAACCACTGCTGTAAATGATATAATTTTCAAAATATTTAATCGTATTTTTGAGATAAAATATAACATTGGTTTCAAATTTAAAATACCATTTATTATTTATTCATCTCTGCATATCATCTACCTACCTGTTGAATTGTATCTAGTCTAGGAGTTTCACCATTTTATATTTATAATGGGATTCACGTCGATGCTTGTCATTTAAATACAAAATCCGTATAAGATTATAGTTATTTTTTAATTAAAACTATATGTTCTAGGAAATATTTGATTTATAATGTATACTAAACACACTATGCATTATAAATTTATAGTAGTCTAGAGCTGGGATAACAAGTGGTTTATATTTATGTATAAAAAAGTAATAATGATGGCAAGAAGAATAAATAAACGAAAATTCAATATGAATCTAATATTAATTTAACATTTAATAGTTTATAATATAGGTGTAATCTAAATATATATATATATATATATATATATATTATATATTATAGCCAATTTTTTTAATTTTCAAATAATTAGCTTTTATTAACAAGATTTTTTATATAAAATATAAAAATTGTTCTCAAATTACTTGAATGTTGTATATAAATGAAATTTATTTTGTTTATTTTGAAAGAATTGTGTATTGTATATTTTGTAAGTAATTCTGAAATTTCTGTTAAAATAGAAGAAACTTTCCGGGGGATTATTTAATTTTAATATTTTTATATTTCTGGTTCTGGTATGTTTAAAACCCAATCTAAAATCATTTAAAATGATTTCATAGAAAATTATATTTGTAAATTAATATAGTTTCAATAATAAATAATATTTAATAATAATATATAATAATTATTTAATTAAATATGTAAAAATTATTTATAATTAATTATATATGATTTTTTTTTTTAACTCTGTTATTTGTAAA